GCTGTCAAAAATGCAGATCTGCTGGCTCTAGCCCAGACTCCACCAGAAGCTCTGGGAGTGGAGCCCAGGAATCTACGTTGGTAAACTCATAAAGTTGATTCTTTTGTGTACTCTCAAAAGTGGAGTTTTGAAGAAAAATGGGCAACAATGAAAAATTATATGAAAGTGTAAGCATTATATGAAAGTATAAGTATTAGAAAACCACAAATGTGAAAAAAATCCTGTTGACGTTCTTATGGATATCATATACCTAGAATGCCTGAGCCTGGATCCTTGATGGCTATGTTTAACAGCTGAATCAACCATACAATAATTTCAAGAATAATAAACTACTATTCATTAAAGCTAAACTACTAGATTAGCTTTTGGTTACTTGCAGCCAAAAGCATGTCTTTCTGATTCAGATTAAGATCTTATTTGTTAGGAAGATGCTTAGACTTTATCAGTCAAATTAAGTGATAATTAGTGATTAAATTGGGTGCATTTAAAAAGTATCCCAAATACTGTCTCACAGAATGCAAAAAAATAGTAATTCTAAGATTATGTATTTGACCAAATTACACAGTTTGGATGTTGTCCTCTCCAAATCTCATGTTGAATTGAAATCCCTGATGTTGGAGTTGTAGCCTGGTGGGAAGTAACTGGGTCATGGGGCAGATCTCCATGGCTTGGTGCTGTCCTCACAGCAGTAAATACTCATGAGATCTGGTAGTTTATACGTGCATGACACCTCTGCTCTCACTCCTGCTCTTGTCATATGCCATATCTGTGCCTGTCTCACCTTCTGCCATGAATAAAAGCTCCCTGTGGCCTTCCCAGAAACTGAGCAGATACTGGTGCTATACTTCCTGTGAGCCAATTAAACTTCTTTTAATTTTAATTCTTTTAATTAAACGTCTTATAATTGGCAGACCTGTGAGCCAATTAAACTTCTTTTAGCAATGCAAGAACAAGTTAACACAGAAAATTGGTACTGAGAAGTAGGGCACTGTTGTAGAGACAGCTGAAAATGTGGAAGCAGCGTTGGAATAGGGTAATGGGCAGAAGTTGGAAGAGTTGGGAGGGCTCAGAAGACAGGAAAATGAGGGAAAGTTTGAAACTTATTAGAGACTGGTTAAATGGTTATGATTCTGATAGTGATATGAACAGTAAAGTGCAGGCTGACTAGGTCTCAGATGGGAATGAGAAGTTTCCTGGGAAGTGGAGCTAAGGTTACCCATATCATGCCTTAGTGAAGAGCTTTGCTGAATTCTGTTCATGCCCTAGTATGTGGAAGTTTGAACTAAAAAGTAATGACTTAGGGTATCTGGTGGAAGAAATTTCTAAGCAGGAAAGCATTCAAGAAGTTATCTGGTTAGGCCGGGCGCGGTGACTCAAGCCTGTAATCCCAGCGCTTTGGGAGGCCGAGGCGGGTGGATCATGAAGTCAAGAGATCGAGACCAACCTGGTCAGCATGATGAAACACTGTCTCTACTAAAAATACAAGAAATTAGCTGGGCACGGTGGCGCGTGCCTGTAATCCCAGCTACTCAGCAGGCTGAGGCAGGAGAATTGCCTGAACCCAGGAGGCAAAGGTTGCAGTGAGCCGAGATCACGCCATTGCACTCCAGCCTGGATAAGAAGAGCGAAACTCCGTCTCAAAAAAAAAAAAAAAGTTATCTGGTTATTTCTAACAGCCTATCCTCAGATGTAAGAGTAAAGAAATGACATAAAGTTGGAAGTTATATCGAAAGGGGAAGCAGAGCATAAAAGTTTAGAAAATTTGCAGCCTAGCTATGCGGCAAAGAAAAAACACTATCAGGAGAGAAATTCAAGGAGGCTGGGGAGCAACCACTTGCTAGTTACTAGCATGACTAAAAGGGAGCCAAGTGTTAATAGCCAAGACAGTGAGTAAAAGGCCTTAAAGGCGTTTCAGAGATCTTCAAAGGAACCCTTCCCATCACAGGCCCAGCGGTCAAGGAAGAAAGAATGGTTTTATGGCCCAGATCCAGAGCCTTGCTGCACTGTGCAACCTCAGAATACTGCTTCTTGCATTCTGGTTGCTCCAGCTCCAGCCTTGGCTGAAAGCCAGATAGAGCTCAGACCGCTGCTTCAAAGGGTACAAGCCATAAGCCTTGGCAGCTTCCATGTGGTGTTAAGCCTGTTGGTACACAGAGTAAAAGAGTGAAGGAGGCTTAGCAGCCTCCACCTAGACTTTAGAGGATGTATGAGAAAGCTTGGGTGCCCAGGAAGAAGCCTGCCACAAAGGCAGAGCTCTCATAGAGAACTTCTACTAGGGCAGTGCAAAGGGGAAATGTGGGATTGGACTCCTCACACAGAGCACCCACCAGGGTACTGCCTAGTGGAGCTGTGGGAAGGTGGCCATTATCCTCCAGACCCCAGAATGGTAGATCCACCGGCAGCTTGCACCCTGCACCTGGAAATGTCACAAGCACTCAATTCCAACTCATGAGAACAGCCATGGTGGCTGAACCCTGCAAAGCCACAGGGGTGGAGTTGCCCAGTGCTTTGGGAGCCTAACCCTTGTGCCAGTATGCCCTAAATGCAGGACATGGAATCAAAGAATTGTTTTGAAGCTTTAAAATTTAATAACTGCTCTGCTAGATTTCAATGTGTGGGTCCTGTAACCCCATCCTTTTGGCCGATTCCTCTCTTTACAAATGGGAATGTTTACCCAATGCCTGTATCCCCAGTGTATCTTGAAAGTAAATAACTTGTTTTGATTTTACAGGCTCATAGGTGGAAGGAACTCATCTCCAGATGAGATTTTGGACTTAGGACTTTTGATTGAGTTCATGCTGGAATGAGTTAAGACTTTGGTGGACTATTGGCAGCAGATGAATATATTTTGCATTGTCAGAAGACCATGAGAATTTAAGGGTCATGGTGGAATGAAATACTTTGAATATTGTCCCCTTTAAATCTCATGTTAAATTGCAATCTCCAGTGCTGGGGGTGGGACCTGTGGGAGGTGATTCGGTCATGGGGACAGATCCCTCATAGATTGGTGTTGTCATCCCAATAGTGTGTACTCAAGAGATCTTGTTGTTTAAAGGTATGTAGCACCTCTCTCCTTCCTCCTCCTCTGGCCATGTGATGTGGTTGTTCCTGCTTCACCTTCCACCATGAGTAAACACTCCATGAGGCCTTCTCAAAAGCTGACCATATTCCAGTACCATGCTTGTACAGGCTGTAGAACTGTAAGCCAATTAAATCTCTCATCTTTCTAAATTATCCAGCCTCAGGTACTTCCTTAGCAGCAACACAAGAATGGCCTAATATATTAAACAAGTAAAAATGAGTAAAATTTGCTGTTGTTGGTACATCTTTGCAATATGCTTCTTGGTAATAAAGCACAAAGAATGTTTATGAATAATAATTATGACTTTTTTGAGCATATACTATACATCAAGCACTAAGTTAAGAACTTTATATAAATATCTCACCCAAACCTCATAATAACCCTATATCATAACTCACCATTATTGATTATCATACATTGTAACTCATTATTAATGAGAAAATGAATGAGTTCCACTTATGGAGGTAAGAGATATCAAAGGTAGTAAACACATTTCTTGAATAAAATGGTAGGAAAATAAATATGGTAAACTTGTTAGTTCCCAGGTATGTTTCCTGGCATTACTACTGTGGATCTTTTGCATTAATTTAAATCCTGTATATCTTTCGTGGCATAAATCAAGTCTAAATCCTCCTTAGAGAAACTTCCTCAACGTTTAGGTATGAGCTATGTCTTTTTGTTCCTCTAGAATTTAGATTTAGGACCATACCATAGGGATTAGAACATTTGGGGTAAAAAGAAATGCGTTATACCTAGAAGAGTACATTGTTCGTAGACACGAATAATTCCTGTCAAATGTTGTCATCTAACCATTTTGCATTTTTCACCTATAAAAATAGTCCATTATGTGACTTGAAAATTCTTATTTTAGGCTTATATATAATCATACTTCATTTAATTCAGCAAATGTAATTAATTTTTACTAATAGATAACAGTTCTCTGTGGGTTTCAGCTAAGTAATTTTTCTCTTGACATATCTTTCTGGTAATTCAGGTTAATAGAAATTTGAGAACATATACAACTATTTTAAATGAAGAATTTAATATCCTCCTTCCCTGGCTCCCAATACTTATCAGTCCTCTTTAGGATTTTGTAACTATCAGAATGACAATCACATATGTAAAATGTGTTTATGGGGAAATAATATATTTTTTAAATATGCTGCAGCTGATATACCTTTATTTTGTCCTATTGCTCGATGCATGTGACAGAATAAAGTTCTTTGTTTCTCTTTACACTTAATTACATTGAGGATTTTAGAAAACTGTCTTCATCAGTTATCTATCTTGAATTGATCAACTTTTCAGCAAATATCTCAATTGTTTAGATTTACTCCATGAAAAAGAACATAACTTAAAAATTTACCAAATATATTATTTTGAATCTGTGGTCTCTCTTCAATGTTAACATCCCAAATAGTAACTTGTCATAGGATTTAAATATTCTTACCATTATTTTTTGAGATGGAGTCTTGCTCTGTCCCCAGGCTAGAGTGCAGTGGCCCAATCTTGGCTCACTGCAACCTCTGCCTCCCGGGTTCAAGCAATTCTCCTGCCTCAGCCTCCTGAGTAGCTGTGGTTACAGGCATGCGCCACCATGTCCAGCTAATTTTTGTATTTTTAGTAGAGATGGGGTTTCACCATGTTGGCCAGGATGGTCATGATCCACTCACCTCAGCCTCCCAAAGTGCTGGGATTACAGGCATGAGCCACCGCACACAGCCGGGTTTTAAAACTTTTATAAGTTTTGCATTGTAGCTAAAATGCATATTAAAAGAACTTTAAAATATTATTTCCCCAGTAAATTGTATTATTATATTGTTCCTTATGCATAGATATGTCTCTAGATCAGTTAAATCCACAGGATAAGATAGGTCGAAGACTAAGAGGCTACTGTTATATCACATACACTGGCATCTTTGATTTCAGATAGTTCAATTTTTTTCAAGGAGACAATAAGCAATGCAATATTTTCTTGATTTTTACACTGAAAAATATGCTATGAAGGAAGTCTGAGTACTAAGACTGTGGGAGAAAAAATGGGAATTTCTTAATGTAATGTAAACAGTTATTTCTATATTGCTTTCAGCCTTTGTTTTCTATTTGAATAAAAATATAAAAACAAAACTATGCAGTACAATTTTCTTGACTATGAAAGTAAAAGTCTGTCAGTGAATATGACTCACATTTCATTAAAATGCATACAAATGCGTTCTGGGATAGATACACATTTTCATTTATGGATACATATAAATATATATTCCATATGTTTCATTTATAGACATTGATATAAATGAAAACTTAATTGAATCATGTTCTTAAATAAAGATGTTCAATAATTTTTTCATGACCACAACACTTTAAGAGCATTTATTTTATAATTTCGAACTGGAACAAACCCACAAAGTGAACAGATTCTTAGTTTAATCTATTACCCATTTTGCTAGTGTACTGTAGCAATGATTAATATATTACTTTAATGTCAAATTCTTGATTAAAGTAGAATACATAATTCAACATTCTATTGTGACTTCCCTGGAGGAAAAGTTAGGAAAAAGCCAGTGTTTCTTAAATGCCTCTGAGTCGTTTTGAAAGATATTTTAGGGGGAAATAATATTGAAATGTACTTAGGTGAAATTTAGGTTATTCTTCTGTTAAAAAGATTGGAAATAGTGTCAGGAAGGGCTATTTACTGTACCACACTAACCAATTCTCTATCAGTGATTGAAAAGAGGAAAAATGCTATCATTCTGTCCAATGTTCGTTCATTTTGCGCATCAAGGGCACAGCTCAGAAGGCTGGTAATGTCTAGCCTAGTGAGATACATAAACTGATAAATTATTTGCAACAGCCTTGATTTAGACTTATTCACTTTAAAACTTTTTTTATACATTTTGTTTCTAAGCTTTTAAAATATTTTAAAATAAATGTTATCTTCAGATCATGAACATAATGCAATACTTCCAATCGCCTGTATGCTTTTGAGGAGGATATACAAATATTAAATTTTCCAGTTCTAGAATTAAGAGAAAGAAGATTGCAGAACTTATCTTTTTGTTCTAAGTGATACTGAAAATAACACTGACAAGGTCTCTGGGCCAGTGGCGACGGTGAGTTCAAATAGAGATTAGATGAAGCACGTATTTTAAGTAAGATACACATCTTTAAATACTGTGTATATATATGTGTGTTCAGGAAGGAAAACCTGCTTTTGTTTTAAGTAGATGTTACAAACGATGGTGTTTTTTTTTTTTTTTTCAACTTGCAAAATGTCTTGAAGGTTGGAGCAGAGCCGGTTACCTTTGAGCATCGAAATACTGCACGTTAGCCCGTTTCCTTTTCCCTTCAGGAAAGATGGATGCAGGATTGAGATGTTACACGAGAACTAAGAGAGCCACCAGCTTGGCACAGAAGAAAAAGCAAACCCAAAATGAAAACACCCGGATTTTAAGCGCGGATCCTGAGAGGCCGGTTTGCACTGGCCGAACGCCTGCGTTAACCCTTTGGGTGCTGCAGCCAGGATCCCCAGTGTCTGCGGATCCGACCGGTAGGAACAGAGATTTGGTGCTCTGCGCCCGCATGGGGAGTGGGCTCTCTTCCCCAAAGAGGGAGCAAGCTGTGAAGCACTTTTGTTGTCCGGTGCGTGCGTCAAGGCCCGGGACAGGCGTCGAGTCCGGTTTGGAGTGGGGACAGAGACACGGTGAGGAGCCGCTCAAATGTCCGCTGACTGGGGGTTCGCCTTAACTGTCCTCGCCAAGAGCGCTCGCCTGGCCCGTTCCTGGGCCCGCTTCTGGGCCCTGGAGGGGCGCGGGCCCGGGGGCGGTTCCGGAGGGGGCCCAGGTGAAGAAGGCGCCCGCACTTCTCCTGCGGCAGTCATCGCTCTCCTGCCTCCACACCTCGCGGCAGCGGCCCGGCCCCACGCCGAAACAGCAGCTGTGACTGACGGAGTCACCTCCCCGCTCGCTTGAGCCACCCCCTCCTCCCCCGCCGCTCCCTCCCGCACCAACACGTCATGGAAACACGGACGTCAGAGCTTCTCAGCCAATCGCAGGCTGCGGCAAGAGGGAAGAAGAGCGCTGGAGGGGGCGGAGGCAGCGGCGAGCCGAGGCTCTCAGGGGAAGGAAGAGAGGGAGGGGCATGCGGAGGCGCAAGTCCCCACCCCCGATCCTCACTCTGGCCACCCTTTCCCGACCGCGCGGCAAGTTCTAATCGCTGGGCACGCGCTCGCCTGCCGGGGGCGCGCTTACCGGGTCCTCCCCTTAAACGCCCTCCCAGTGCCGCTCAGCTCCCCAGTCCCGGCCCGAGTCGGGCTTCCTCCGCGCGCGGGCGCGCGCGCGCGCCCGCCCCCAGGGTCCCCGCGGACCGCATCACGTGACCGCGCCCAGCCAAGGCGGCAGCGGCGGCAGCCCGAGCTTCGGCGGCGGCGGCGGCGGCGGCGGCGGCGGCGGCTGTGGCTGTGGCTGTGGCACCGGGAGCAGCTGCGCCGCCAGCGTGGAGCGGGAGGCGTGTGGGTGTGGAGAGAAGGGAGCGCCAGACCGGAACGGGTGAGCGTTCTCCTCCCCCTGCCTACCCCGGCAATATTGCGGGCCACCGGGTGCAGACAGGGTCCCTGCCCGGAGCAGCGCGCAGCCCCCTCGTGCTCGGCCGTCCATTCTCTGGTGCCCGCGGGCACCTCCCCAAGCGGGCCGGGTTGCGGCGCTCAAGGAGGGGGCTGCACCCCGCCCGCCGCTGCCGTTGCGGACGGCAGCGTGAGGCCGGCGAAGCTGCCCGTGCCCAGCGAGCGCGGCGCGCCCTGTGTGCGGCTCTGCGGAGCCGAGGAGGCGGGTCCTGCGGAGACGCGGACGGCCACTCGGTGACTGCCGGGCTCTGGGCGGGGACGACCGGGCGCCGCCTCCTCCTCCTCCTCCTCCGCCGCCGCCGCGGCCGCCGCCGCCGCCGCCGCCTCCTCCTCGCAGTGCAGCGTGAGTAGGGAGCCCCGGCTGGTGGACGCCGAGCCTCTCGGCTCCCCGGCCGCCCCATCCCCGAGGTGCAACTGCACCTCCGCGTGGCGCCCCGAGCCTTGCGAGCCGGCTGCAGACGCGCTGAGGACCGAGCCCTCATCCTCTGCGTTTCCTGCTGCCCCTTACTGTCCCGCGACCCTCCTGCAGCCTCCTTTTCCTTCCCTCTCGGAAAATGGTTCCTACTGCCGGGCGAGGTGAGTGGCGGCCGCCGCCCGCCCGAGGCGGGGGCGGCCGGGCAGGTCACCTGCGGGGGAGGCCGGGCGGAGCACTGAGGTCTGTTGTCGCGGCGGGGGTCCTGACAGCTGGGTGCCCGGAGGGTTGCGGCGGATTCGGCAGAAGCTGGTGGGGCGGCCGGGGCCCCTCACAGGTTGTCTCTTGCCGGGAGATTGTAAAGGTGAGCGGGCTTCTAGGCGTGCACCTCAGCGCCGGGTCGGTCTGGGAGTCACTGCTCCGGCCGGAGGGATGGGGCTGGTTGGGGCTTCTGGTCTACACCGCAGGTCTTCGGCTTCACGGAGCCGCCTCGGCCGCGCGGCAGTCCATCCCGCCACCGGTCGCCCCCGCCACGGCGCGTGGTGACCTTGAGGGCACGGTGCCTGGCACTCCCTCTCCCCGCGCCCCGGCAGGGTCACCCCTCTAATCCTTGGCCTCGGCCCCCTAGACGCACTGCGGGAGGGGAGCGGGGGCCCCGAGTCGGCCCCTGGCCCGGGTGGTTGGTTGGTGCGTGTCAGGACGGTGATTTCCCGGGAGTTGGAGAGCCGCCTAGTCTTTCTCCTCACGCCTTCCGTCTGGCCCCCCCAGGATGTTCACATTTGTTTCCGATTCGTGTTTATTCACTTAGTTTAAGAGGCAAAAGCCTGCGCCCCCATCCCCCTTTTTGGGGAAGGAGTCTGTAGGAGGACCGCGTTCCAATGGCAGGGGTGTGGAGTCGGGGGTGTGCTCTCTTTATCTCATCCTGCGGGAGAATCCTGTGGCTAAGCTGGTTAGCGACCCCTGGTTCTGCGCCGCGGTCACCGCCAGGTTGGTTTCAGTGCGCATTTCATTCACCAGTTTTCTGCGGGACTCGCAGCGCTAGGAGTGCTCGCACCCTGTGCGGTGCTTGGCGCGGAGGGGCGGGCAGGGCGTCCGGGTGGGTTAAGGGGGTCTGCAGATACTTGGAGGGCTCGACCGTCCTCGGCAAGTTTGATACTTACCTTTCCTTGGGTTAGAGCGCTGCAGACAGCCACCTTTCGCTTCTGTGCCCGATACTTTTCTGAGTGTATTAATAATCTAATGGCTTCGCTTGGTATCGATTGGTGTTCGTAATAAATTAGCTACATGTTTCTTTTTCATACCTGTGTAGGTTTATGCATATATCTGAACTTGTCTGCCTTTCAACATGGAAGCCTTTGTTATGTTTAACCTCCCCCACCTGAGGACAGTCTTATTTTAAAATAAGGCTCTTGTTCAGCGTGGGTATATTTTATAATAAGTACTTGTAAGGACCCGGTTTGTATGAGGCTGTCATCTGGCAGAGGGTGTGTAACCCTTTGGATGGTGGCCCACGTGAGTGAATGGAGGGCCTTCACCACTAGCCCTGATGCCAGGCTGCCTGAGACTCCCTGTCCTTGTGTGTGGCAGGGGCGGATTGGGGGAATTAAGAGGGATTGGAGGAGAATCTGTTTTTTGTACTTGTGTGTTTCATTTGGGTTCTCCTCCCCTTCTCTTTATCCTTCTGATGAGTTCAAATTTGAAGTAAATACAAACATTTCTTTTTAATTGGGAACCTTCGATAGCTAGCATATAAAATGGGCTTATTTAGCCATGATTTCAGGAAGACGTTTTAGTTTCTACCTTTCTTTAGATCAAGACAGTTAAATTGCTGTAATTAAGGGTGGATCTCTGTCCTGATTCTGGCTTGGGTGTAACTGCAAAGATCTTTGAAAAGTAACTGTTATTTCCTACCATATAGTCTGCAAAAGTGAGTCACATTCGGGTGAGTTGAGGACAGAGCGCCACCTTTAATTTAAAATTTCGTGATTTTCTTGTATTAAAATGGTGAAAATTCGGAGTACGCCTTCTTGATTTTTATCGCAGCTGTCATTATTGGCATCCCCATTTTGACGTATAAGGGGGAATTGTCTTCATTTTTCTGTATTCTCTTATTTCTCTTAGGAGAGAAATTTCTGCAATCGTGTGGGAAATCATAGTTGTTGTTTTTTTTTTTTTAACTGAAGCTTGAGATTTAATTTAGTATTCTGAGATGAGAAACCAGTTTTGATTTGTGTTTATAATAATATCGGTGGTCTGGATCTTCTTGGTGAAAGAAGAGTAACACCTGCTTTTAAATATGTGGTTTAAACTACCCATTACCACCAAATAAAGGTATCTACCAGCATGACAGTGGTTTTACTCGTGTGTGTGTGTGTGTGTGTGTGTGTGTGTTTTAAAGCTGTAGGCCTATTAACAGATGCTAAAATAACACGCAGGATCAGGTATAGTAATTCTTTTTTGTTTGTAGTATTCCAACAACTTACCTTTTATGATTTTCTGTTTTACAGTTGCTTTTGCTTAAATAATACAAATGAACACTTCGAGCAGGTGTACTTATATTCAAAGTTTAATAAAGTCCGTGTTAGAAAAAAGTGGTTTCGATATGTGGCTTCTCTCAGGTGCATCTCATATAAAAATAAATGGAAATTTTAATGCTTGGAAAACAAATGCTGTAGTGACAACTGAATTGGTGAGATTGCCTTCCCTTCTCCTCCTTCCCAAATCATAAATATAAAGAACACTGTCTCTTTAGACACAGGCTCCTTTTTTATTATTATACGGCAGATGTTAACATGAGAAAAAGGATTTAGCTCTCAAGTAATGAATTAAAATGTGGATATTATTACGAATAGTCTTTCTTACCATCCACAAAATATTATTGCCCTTCTACCTGCATTTAAGTTTTCATTGAACACTTGGAATTCCTCTATAGACTACTGTAAAACATTAGCTATTGAGCTATAGATAAGTCTTTATTAAACTAAAATTAGCCAGAAAATGTGTTTGAGATGAAAGATGTTTTATGCTCTTACTGTTACATATTCTCTGTCAAGCTATGGAATATGGCCCCAGGTTAAAGGATGTTATTTGAGCTATTAGCTGGATGCATACAGAGTAATTATTTCTTGTTATGTATACTTCGATAGAATCCTTGATATTAGAGTTAGATTTACTAATTTCCTTTGTCTGGCAGACATGTTAACTTCATTTCAGATGAAACACTCTTACCATGGGAAATGAGTTTTAAAAGGAATGGCCAATTAAAACTATTGGTCTTTTGTAATACAGAACAAAAAAGTATTTGCTTTTTTTCCCTTCCATTTTACACATGATTACAGTAAAATTGATGTTTTCACTTTTTTATTCTGGAATTTTGTAATGAAAGAGCAAAAAAGAATAAAAGGTCTAAGGATCAGAAAGCAGAAACAAAGATTTAAGTTTTTGAATCTTGGGTAAGAGTATTGACCAGCTTGAAGGGAATAATTATTTTCTAGTAGCTGTCATGATATGTAATAAAGGTACCAATAGTAGCTTATTTGGGACTAGGTAGACTCTGAGGTGGCATTGTAAGGAAAATAATATACAATAGTTACGGGAATAATTTTCATAAAGTAAAATAACTTTAAAAAATTACTTTTTAGCTTTTAGAAATGTTATTTATACATACCGCATACATTGTTGTCTTGTTAAAATTTTTTATTATAGAAATTGTCAAACATGAGAAAATAGAATGATATACCTACTGGACAGTTTTAACAATGACCAACTCGTGGTGCATCAAATTTTACTTATATCTTAACACAAGAAATGCATCTGTTATAAATGGGGACATAGGACAGGTAATCAATTTGAATTTTCGTTTTATATTTGTAATTTACAGAATACTGTCTACTCAGTAGTGTCCAATATCTAATTAAATCTGAATGGTCAGTTTTTATGTTCTTCATTGATTCTTTAGTGGCATATACATTTTAATATTTCTGGTGATAGTTTGTGTGTTTTACAGCAGATACCCAAAGGTAGTGTCTCTCAAATTTTGCTGTCTTCATAAATCACAGACATTATTAAGTGTTTTACGGTTTTCAGAATGTATTTACATAGTACCTCATTTGATTTTCATAATAATCATGTATGGTAAGGTAGACATTTGTCTCTTTTTTTTCCCCCCTGTAGGTAAAGTGATTTGTCTAGGCCCTAAGGTCACATAGCAGTTTTTTTTAGCCCAAACTGATCTCTAGGTGGCTTCTAGTTTATGCTCATTGCTCTTCTCATTATACATGTTTATGTAAGTTTATGAAAGTTATGTATGGAAAATCAATTCTGATCAGAGTAAATTTAATGATGAAATATAAATAGGTTTGTTTGGGTTAAGCTTTATAAATTTAATCATACTTATATTTTGTGTAATGCAAACAGTTTGTATTTTGATTTACTTAACAGCTGAGTGAATGTGAATGTATCTGAAATACTATATTTTTAATATTGTGGATTTTCTTAAGGAATTTTGATTTCAAATAACTGTTGGTCTTTGAAATGACTAGGGGTGTCTTAGATCTTGAATAAAAATAAAATGTGCTATACTACAAGTTTCTTTAAATTTCTGCTGTAACTTTTTATGCACTTGTTTTTCTGCTATAACGTGTTTATTGCCTGAATCTCTTTGAAATACTGATTGGTTCTGTAATGAAATTTAGTTTAAAAGGTTCCAAATGAGGAGATTTTAGTTCCTGAAATCCAAAACCTGGTTATAAATCTCAGAAAAAAGGTGTGGTTCTCCAGCATTAACGTGCATGAGAGTCACCTGGGGGAATTACTGAACGTGCAGATTCCTTGGCTTTGCCCCTGGAATTCTGATTCAGCAGATTTGGGGTGGGGCCCAGTAGTCGGCATTTTGAGAAACATTGACATTGCATTTATAACTAAGTTAAAATTACATGGTAGAGATAGCTAAATCAGTAGCAAAGTTTGATTCGTTGATGTTGGTGGCTTTTGTGACAATTGTAGAACTGATAAATTAAAAACATTTCTGTTATCTGTATATGTACAGTCTTTCAGAAGATTCATTTGTAATTACTTAAGTTACTTATTAAGCACTGTAAACTCTTAGAGAATGTTCTTTTGTTTTCATGTCTTAATGTCTGCCATTTCCAAATGACTTGGACACCGGGGTTTATATTCATAAAAATAATGCATGCTTATCCTTTCAGTAGTGTGTATTTATGCTTTAGTCTAGCTCTTATCTTTGTTAGAAGAAAAGATTGGATACTCCTTCAGACTAAAAAGACATAAGTGAGTGGATAGTTCTCGTTAATTTTAGTTAACAAGCAGCTGCTCTTTTAAAAACAGCAAGTAGATCTTCCAAGAATATTAGTGATAGCATGTTAATTGATAACCTACTATTTTGTGCATTAAGTAGAAGTTACTGCTGTCTCACTTAAATGTTAAATAACAGTTTTTGTAGTTCAGCAATCTACTCCAACTTTTGGAACTATTTTATCTAATACTACTATATACCACGTGAATTACCTGCCTTTAATAATTTTCCTCTTTAAGACCAGTTTTAAAATGCAGTTGTTTTTGTTTCATTTATAACAATATAGTAAATAGCCTGTGCCTGCATTTAAAATATATTTTATAATGAAAATAATTTCAAAGCAGGTTCATCCCAAGACTGTTTGAACCTGTTTTTGTTTGTTCCAAAACTTAAAGTCTTGTTGGCTACACCTTAAGGTATATTTAGGAATTATAGATTGTAATTTACTAAAACTTATGGTAATCTAAATTAATAAGTATTTTTGGCAGAGAGTTCCAAATAAACTATGGGTACTTTTTTTTGCCGTATTTTTAAAAGTTATTTTTTAATACTTTTTTTTTTTTTTTTATTTAGGACAGTGTCAGCTATTCCAAATAGTATGTGGTGTTTTTAGTTACCTCTTTGGTAAGAATATTTGGTATTTCTAAGTACAGTAACGTCCAAAAATACAGTTTCCTAAAATATGGGGTATTTGCTTTTGTATTACTGCCACCTGGGCCTCTGGGGGAACAAATAAAGATAGTTTTGAATGAACCAATGCTTGCTTACACTGTGAAATCTGAGATTACACTGCCTAACTGTAAAATGGTATGACTACTGTACAGACCTGATAAATTTAGGAGTCAAATTTATGTTTTCTAAAAAAATACATCTTAAAAAAAGATTTGACTGTTTAACTTAAAATATGCTTTTAAAATAATTTTTTGTTAGCAATGTGGATCTGTTATTCATCATATTAACCCTGTGAGTGAGTTCTCTCCCAGGAGGATTTTAAATAATAGTCTTGTACTCTAAAAACCTTCAGATCCGCTGCTTTAATATGCCTTACATATTTGCGCCAGAATTTTCTTCTGTTTTTCAAAAACCTGTTTTAAACCACGGTTTCTTCACTAAAACTTTTATTGGTTTTTTAAATTTTTATCAAGACACAACTTGACTGTAAAGGACTTTTATTAAGTAGCTCAGTGTTTTCCAAAGTGTGTTTTAGAACAGTGGTTCTGAAAAATATTAATAGGGATTTCCCCCATTTCCTGGGGGACGGGCAGAAACCAAACCCCAGGATATGCTGGTTTACGCTATTCTCCATTTCGAATGTCTGTGATACTTTAACTTGCTAAAAAGGGCTCAGTCTATCTAAATGTGTGTAGTGTTTTGTCCTCATTTGACAAAACTCCCTTTAGTGGAGCATCTTACCTGTTAACTTTCTGTATTACCTAACCAGGATCACTGCCTTGCACAACTCCAGGGGGTGCTGTTCACAAAGAACACAAAATGAATTGTTTCCTGGAGTTGAGAGCAGTGTTGCATACTGTAGTATTGCTGACTATCCACTGTGTGACAGCCTTAGAGTCTGGTGGTCCTTTATCCTGTTGTGAATATGTGTGCGTTTCTCCTGTCACCTGATAGGACCCTTAGGGGCCACATGCAGTGCTTGATGCCTATAAATCCCAGCACTTTGGGAGGCCCCTTGAGGCCAGGGAGGAGGTCGCTTGAGGCCAGGAGTTCCAGGCTGCCTGGGTGGCAGAGCAAGAACCTGTTTACAAAACAAAAAAACCAAATTAACTGCCACATTGAAATTCAGAAGTGGAAAAGTCTGCCTGTGGAGAAGCTAAATTCTACTGTCCTAGTAATATTTTATGAAATGTATGTAGCTATATCTTCCAGAAGTACAACATTGTCTTATGAACTTCTCTGAGCAAGCTGTAATTCCAAAGGTAAAAAGGCTTTTAAAATTTCCAAGAAAAAAGTTCCTTAATCTTCTCTAAGGTAAAGGTTAAGCTTTATCTTAACAGAAGCTATACAATGTCTAAATCCTAAACTAATATGCCACAAAAATAGTATCTGAATATTTGCTGGATAAAGTTCTGTGTATCCTCATATAGAACCCATATCTTATCTCAGCTCTTTTATATTATCTCCAAACAAATTACTAAGACAAAACGATAATAAATGGGAAGTATACAAGCCAGACTACAAACAGAGGACTTCAGACAAGAAAATTTGAGAGATAATGGGAAAGGGTGGACTAATGCTGAGTTTTGAAGAATGGACACATTTAGACAGGAAGACTGAACGTCGTTTCATTGCTGCCGTTCTGTGAACTGAGAGCAAACTGTTAGCTTATGACCTGCTACAGAATCACTAGGCATTAGGGAGAAGAGTTAGGTATACGGTTGGTCTGTGTTAAAGTATAGCAATGGGTTATTCTTCCAGCTGCCTTCCAGAGGTCAAGAAGGAAAGCCTGTATTGACTTTATCATGTCCATTGAATGCTTGGGTGATACATAGAGTAGTAATTTTAGACATTTATATAGCTTTAGTATGTAAGCCATTATATTTAAAAAAAAAAAGCTTGAAAAAATAAGGGTTGTTCTCCAGAAATTATTCTTTTTCCCATGATTAGCACAGCTGAGATCCTACAGGTGCCCTGCTATTGAGTGTTCTCACAACCTTTTAAATTTTATAGATCTAATTGTTGGTAAGGTATTGTGGAAAGAGTGCTAAGACTTGCTCCTGCTTTAATTAAATTGCAGTATGAATCATAATAAAGTTGTTGGTCAGAGAGTAGCACAGGAGTGGTTTTGGTAGTGAAGAAAATAAAAAGAAATTTGAAGGTAGAGATGAATGAAATCAGCAAAAGTGAAATGTGTTAGATTAGTAAGTCCTAATGTTTTTCTACTGGGACACTCAGGGATGATACTGGCATATACTCCATGTTTGCTTGCTAATACCTAGATTTTTTAATACCTCTGCTAAGAGATTTTTAATTTCTTTGCTATACTTCTGCCCTTTTTTTCTCTACTCGTGCTCAAAATCAAGTAATAGCTATAACTACTCTTTTTTTGTTTGTTTGCTTAAAAAGTAACTCATGAGCTTAAGGTACTTAAGTATGGACACTCCTGACAATACCGTAGTGGAGTACTGAGTTAAAGGATACCAGTGGGCTGAAAACAAGGAAGGTCAGTCAGTGAAATGGGAAAGAAGTATAACAAAGTCTAGGAAAGGGAGGTAGGTCCTCCAGCATCAAACTTTCCGAATGCCGAGTCTCAGAAAAACAAGGATTCATCAGTCAACCTCTTTCTGCACACACAGTGGATTTAGTATAAAATTTGTATTACCCTGTCTTTGGTCCAGCACAGTGGCTCATGCCTGTTATTTCAGTACTTTGGGAGGCTGAGGCGGGAGGATTGCTTGAGAACAGGAGTTTGATAGCAGCCTGGACAACATGGCAAAACAACCCCATCTCTACCAAAAAAAAAAAATTTAGTCAGGCATGTGGTATCCCGTACCTGTAGTCCTAGCTACTCATGCTGAGGTAGGAGGATTGCTTGATTCTGGGAGGTAGAGGTTGCAGCGAACTGAGATTATGCTGCTGCACTCCAGCCTGGGCAACAGAGGGAGACCCTGTCTCAAAAATAGATGACCCTACCTTTGAGCTTGTTTTTATGTACATAATCGAATGCTGGAACCTAATTCTCTCACCTCTGGCCCTTCTGCTGACAGCATTCCTTTTGCTAGAAATACCTACCTTTCTCAGAGCCTGTGTCTCCTTTGATTTTGGTTTTTACTCTGTGATATATTAAGGACTCACCAGATGTAAATTTGAAATTTATCTTCGCCACTAAAAAGCCTACTGATCATGGATAAATCACTTGGTTTCTTTGTTAACTCCTCAAAAAGTCAGGGGGTTTTGAGTTTTCTCTCTTGGAAATTTGGCTTTAATAAAATTTGTATAGCAAAAACAGGGACACACTCTTCCCTACCCCAGACTTTCTTTTCAACCATTTAGTTCTTTATTCTGTCAGGTTTGCCACTCAATTTTGTCTTTTAACTACTTTATCATCATTTTGATGTTTCATCTGTGATATGCTGTGGTTCATTTATGAAGATAAATACATTTATTGAAAAACTAAATTAAGATTTCAGTTAAACAGGTGGCATATTGCTGGCATTTAACTCTGTTCCTTGCCAAATATATATTAAAATGAGAATAAGGGAATTCTTTTTTTAAAAAATGTCATAACTCTACAAGGGAGAAAAGAAACCCACACCAGAATTTTAGAAGGAGCTAACTTAGTTGACTCAAAAGCTGAACTCTAATAGAAAAACCCAGAAACAAGTCAGTTTATAGACTTCCTTGAGAGCTCAGAGTTGGGAAAACATGGTACCTGTGGTGAAGAGGGGACAATGGGGCAAAATGGGAGGACTGGTTGAAATTTTAGGAATTTGATACCCAAATATCTTTCCCTTTCTTCTATAGCTCTGTGATCTCTCTTCTTTCACTCTTGCAGAAGGCTAGAAGCTTACTTTCTGGAGAAGGCTACACACTGGGAACACAGTTGAAAACCAGGGTGCCA